CCATTCACCATCATACCCCCTGGCTATCACTCTCCTATATATATATTGTCTCCATGTGCAGGAGCATTATCCTAACTCTGAGCCCATGCAAGTTAGGCTAGCTTTTCCTTAAGTATTAAAACCATCCTGGCTCTGAGAATTAGTGGTTCAGGTTTTTGATTTCTTATTCACCTGAATACAAAACAGCCATGAGGACTCTAGGTACTGTCTTAATGCTTGGCTTACAGACCATTATAGGCAATTCAAAGGCAGAGGTATTTTGTTCAGCTGAATCAACTCATGTCCTCAATGCATATCCTCCTCCGATTATAGCTAAGTACATCTTTTGTTAACTTTGACCTGTGCTGTTTATCTTGTGCCACCAGGAGTCTGGCTTAACTTAGAAACTGCACATCTCCCCTCATTAGAATGTCAGATCCTTGAAGGCAGGGACTGTCTTTGTATATATTTTTTTCATTCATCCATCCATCCATTTGGGAGCCTTCGTAATCTGGCACTACCCTAAATTTCCAACCTTGACTCCATGTATTCTATGCAGTAGCCCAGGTGTTCTTGAATTTGGTTAGAGGGGAAATTACATCTTTATTTTCACTAACCTCTAATTTAGCATTTTTTTCAATTATATAAAAACATTCAGAGATGGGTCTATAGGCTTCATGGGATTGACAAAGGTCTGTGACACAAAGGTTAAGAACCCCAGCTCTAGCCAAATCAGGCTATTCTCTATTCCCTTACAGTAGTGATCTCCCAAATGGGTGTGTATGGAGCGGATACATGACACTAATCAACTTGAGGGTGGGAAGATGGATTGCATCCTACTCTCTCCAGTCATATTTTGTTTTGTAAACCAACACAACCACACCTACCCTTATTCCCCAACATCCTTTTCCCTTTCTCAACCTGAAGTCAGCCTTTCCTCTCAGTTATAATCTAATTGCTACAGGGACATGGAGGTGCAATTGGGGAAAAAAATTCCACCTTCCTCACCATCTCCCCCTCTGCCAAGTATTCTCACACTCTGCCTCCCAGATCTTTTGACAGATGTTCTCGGAGGGTAATTTCTGCTCAACCAGGACAGTGACCAGTAAGTCTTGCCTCCCTACTTTTCAGTTTGGGTGAGTTGAATAGGATGAGTAGGTATATTGAGGTAGATCACAGATCTCACTATGTTATATTCTCCCCCAAATCCATCCTTCTTCCAAACTTTGCTGTTACTGTGCAGAGAGCATCTAGGCTCTCAACTTTATTTTCAACTCCTGTGATCAGGGGTGAAGCAAGGATGTGTATCATCATCATTATTATTTAGTATCATACTAGAAATGCTAGCTATAGTGATAAGACAAGAAAAATAATGGAATAAGAATAGGCAGCAAGGAAACAAAACTTTTTTTTTGCAGATGATTTGATAGTATACTTAGAAAATCCTAGAGAATCAGCTAAAAAAAAGTTGAAATCATTAACAATCTTAAGCAAAGTTGTAGGATATAAAATAAACCTACATAAATCATCAGCATTTCTAGATATTATCAGCAAAACCCAGCAGGAAGAAATAGAAAGAGAAATTCCATTTAAAATAACCAGTCAGTATAAAATACTTGGGAATCTACTTGCTAAGACACACGGAGGAACTTTATAAACACAATGAATTATTTTACAGAGCTAGAAAAAAAATACATCTCAGGAAACAATACATCAAGAATGTCAAGAGAATCAGTAGAGTGAAAGAAGTCAGCCTAGCAGTACCAGATCTCAAACTATACTACAGAGCAGTAGTCATCAAAACAAGCTGGCAATGGATAAGAAAGAGTGGTTGATCAATGAAATTAGGTACACAATATATAGAAGTAAGTGACCATAGTAAGCTACTGTTTGATAGACCCAAAGATCCCAGCTGTTTTGGGGAAGAACTCACTATTCAACAAAAACTGCTAGGAAAACTGGAAAGCAGCCTGGTGGAAACTAGAGAGATCAACATCTCACACCATATACCAAAACAAGATCAAAATGGGTACGTGATTTAAACTTTTATTACCTGTCACATATATGAATAAGAGATAGGATAATGGGGAGGTAAAATAATTTTGATTACATTGAGTGTAAAAAGTTTGGCATAAACAAAGCCAAGGCAGCCAAAATTAGAAGGAAAGCAGGAAACTGGGGGAAAAGTTTTCCACAAGTTTCTCTGATAAAGGTCTCATCTTTCAAAAGCAAAAATTATAAGAGCAAAATTTATAAAAATAAGCCATTCCCCCATTGATAAATGGTCAAAGGATGAGGGCAATTTTCAGAATAAATCAAAGATATCAATGATTACATGAAAAAATACTCTAAATTAAATAATGAGAAAACAACTCCCCTCACACCTATCAGATTGGCTAATGTGACAGAAAAAGAAAATGACAAATGTTGGAGGGGATGTGGAAGAATAGGGATACTAATGCACTATTGGAGTTATGAACTGGTCCAAATTTGGAACTATGCCCAAAGGATTATAAAACTGTGTGTACCCTTTGACCCAGAAATACTGATACTAGGTCCGTACCCCAAAAAGATCAAAGAAAAGGGAAAAGGATCCATATGTACAAAAACATTTATAACAGCTCTTTTTGGGGTGACAAAGAATTGGAAATTGAGGGGATGCCCATCAATTGGGGAATGGCTCAACAAGTTGTAAATGTGATTGTGATGGATTCTATTGTGCTAGAAGAAATGATGAAGAGGATGGTTTTAGAAGAACTTGGGAAGACCTATGTGAACCAATACAAAATGAAGTGAGCAGAACCAGGAGAACATTGTACACAGCAACAGCAATACTGTATGATGATCAACTGTGAATGACTTAGCTACTCTGATCAATACAATGATCCACAACAATTCCAGAGGACTCACGATGAAAAATGTCATCCACCTTCAGAAAGAGAACTGATGAACTCCGAGTGCAGATTGAAGCATTTTTTTCACTTTATTATTTCACTTTATTTTTCTTGCTTTTTTTTAAACAATATGGTTAATATGGAAATATGTTTTGCATGACTTCGTATGTACAATGTTTTCTTGCCTTCTCAATGGGTAGGGGAGAGAATTTAGAGCTGAAAATAAAAATTAAAAATTAAAAAAAATTTTTCAACTCCTCACTGTCCCTCATCCCACATGTCTAATGTTGACCCTTCTTATTATTTCCTTTACATTTGTCACATCTGTCCCCTTTTCTCTACTTATCCAGTCAGTTCAGGCCCTCATCATCTCTTGCTTGCACTATTGTAATAGCATACAAACTCGTCTCCTTGCTTCAAGTCTCTCTGATCTGGAAGCCTGAGATTATGGGGATTTTTTCTTTTGGGGTGTCTTTTAGGAAGTAATGAATATATTCTATTTTCACTTTGCCCTATCATTATAAAGATCAGGGCAGTTTTCATTTATGATTTCTTGAAATAAAGTGTCTTGATAGATACACACACACACACACACACACACACACACACACACACACACACTTTTCAGGGAGTCTTAAATTATCCTTTAGCCTATTTTCCAGGTCAATTATTTTTGATAAGTGATACTTTCCATTTTCCCCCATTTTTTATTTTATTTTATTCAAATGTTTCTTTTCTCATAAAGGCATTGATTTCTATCTAGTCTTTTAATTTTGAGGAAGTCTATTATTTAATAAGGTAAACTTTATCACTTCCTGTTCTAAGATATTAAATTGTTTTCCAGTTTTTTTTTCTTCCAGCACATTCCTCCTCCCTCCCTTCCTTCCTTTCTTTCTTTTGAAGAATCAGTTTTTTTTCCTTTGAGTCTCTACTTAACAGTTGCTTAGTTACTCTCTCTTCTTCTAATTTGGATTTTTGGGTATTTCTGGATCAAATAGTTCTTTACAATGATTGATGTCTTCTTCTGTTCACTTAGATATCCAGCCTCAGTTCCAAGTTGGGGCTTTGTGCTAGGGCTAGATTAGGGCCAGGACTTACTCTTCCTGTACTTTTGGGTGGGGCATGGTTAGTCCTACTTGGTTAGTTTGGGGCACCAGGATTCATCTGCTGACTCCCATCTCCAGGGGTGGGGGTGTCTAAACTAAGAGTGCTGTTAGGTTTTAGGCTCCACACATATCATTGAGGTTCAGAATGATGACTTCACGACCTTCTTTGGCATTTCAGGACAGAGTACTATGGACCTCAGAGCTATAGTATCCAAGTCTGTATATTGTCTTGCTTAGACTGAATGTTGAAGCTCCACGTTGCTCTCAAGGTCCACTGTGTGGGTTTCTAAAAAGACTGGTTTTTCTCTTTCTTGTTGCCTCTTACAGGCTCAGATGTCCCTGGCCAGTCTCTGGGGTCATGCTTTGGTCTTGGTTACCTGTGCTAGCCCTGGGATTTCTGGTGGTCCCTATTTCCTATTGGCCATAGATTTCTGATGTTTTGTCCAGTTCTAGCTTGATGAAATCACTTACTGTTATTTATCATTGAATTTCTTGATCATTATTTGATCTGTTACTATTTTTAGTTTATTTATTTATTTATTTATTTATTTTTTGCTAGAGTAAGCATATGGGAGCTAGTCCACTGCCTCTATTCAAGAAGCTATTTTAGGTAGAAGTACCTACCTCCATTCTCTGCACTATTTCAAATCCATGCTTCACAAATAGTTATCAAAGTGATTTTCCTAAACCACATGTTTGACCATGTCTACCCTTAACTCTGAAAAACCCCAAAAAACCTTCAGTGGCTCCCTATGTTATTTCATTTTTATCTCATCCTTTTTAATGTCTTTTTTGGTGCCATTTTTATAATATATGTATATACATTTGGTACTGTATTACATGTATATAATTTATAGCTAAGTAAATATGCACATATTGGATTGTCTGCTTATGTACTTTATACTCCTACTTGCTCTAGGAATATAAGCTCCAGATCTGTCCAGATTTGGGACAGATAAATCCCAAATGTGGATAATTTAGTGCTGATTATTACTCTGTCTCTTGTAAATGAGAATCAAAATCTCATGTAATGAAAAGTTTTAATTCTGATAAAAAAACGTTACAAATACAAGATTGGATTGAGAATAAGAGAGTGGGCTGGGAAGCAGGGGGTTTGAGGAAAGCGTATGGCCCAGATACTAGCAGGTGAAGTCAGTTAATGTGTTGATTATTACCACCATCACCACCAGTCACCATGCCCCTCCCCAAGCGGCTGCACTAGTTATCAGGATGCCAAGTAATTTTTTGGGACCAGTGATTATGATTCTTCATGAGTTACGTGATGCAGCTAGGAGGCAGAGTATGGAATGGGTTCAGGCAACTCCCATCACTATTGCCTCACCAGATAAGAGTACAGGAACTTACTGGGTAAATGCCCATATGCCCAGTGGGTTAGTCCTACCCTGTCTAGTTATAAAGACCATTTGGCCTATGACATTAAGATCCATGAAAGAAGTCTAGCTAACGGCATCAAAATCTGCTTTCTTTACTTCCCTTTGTCCCCTTGGTCTCTGTTGCTGGCACTCAGGTCGAGAGTGTCCCTGGATCCTGACCTGGAGAAAGCATAGACTTGCCCATTGTCACCACCTCTCTCTGGCTTCAGATGCGTCTTTCACCTAATAAATTAAGCACTCAGTCTTGCACTTAGAGGCCAGAGGTGTTCTTTGGGAACCTTGGAGTCATCAGATGAAATACTCCTCCTTCTTCTCTTGGACTGAGTCATTCTCCATTTGCAGAGTTGCGCTGGCTTCTCCTTCTGGGGGCTCATAGGTGATATAGCTGCCTTTGTTCTTGTACAGGTAAATGATGATGACGATCAGGACTGAGAGCAGGGTGATGAAGACCACTGTGATAACAACTTGGAAAGAAGAGAGGAGACATAAGATTCTGGAAGGGTTATTTATTTACCTATCATTTCATAGAGGAACCAACCTGCATGGGTCCTGCCATTTTCCCTCTTTTCCCCAAATTTTGCTTTTGTCTTCTGCCTCTCTTTTCCTATAAATCAATTCTTCTTCCTCCCGTCTCCTCCTCCCATGAAAGCCAGCATCAATCTAAGCAAACCTCACCAAGTCCCCGACAAAGAATGGCTATTAGTTCTGCAGCTTGACTTCCTGTATGTTCGCTGCCTGGTTTCCATGAAAACTGCAGCCTTAATCCTTGTGTTCAAGAGACAAGGATATGCTTCCCTGAATGAGTTAAAAAGCAGGTCCCAGCCAGCTGCTGATGACTCTGACAGAACAGGAAGGAGGGAAACAGGAAACAGTTTATCTCAACAGGAAGGGTTTTCCAAAGCCATAGTTAATCTTCTGTGGTAGTTTTGTTGAGCCCTCCTAGCCTTCCTTCCATCTGCTCCCTAATTTGCTCACAAACAGCAACACACAGGATAACTTGTTCATGCCGATATAATGTCAACCCAACAACTCCTGGGGGTTGATATGTCTACCTGCCCACCTCCAAATCCATCATTTGATTTCCTCTCCCCCCCAAGCTTAAGTTATTTATTATGAATTTAATGGCAGTAATTACAATTGTTTTGCAGCGATTACATTTAAACATGAGTTTCAGTGTATTAAAATGTTATAATCCATAAGTCTCGATCAGACTAACTGGCGCATGAGTTCAATCCCAGTTGGAATTAGGATGTGCTCTGTTCTACTTTTTAAATGTACATTGTTTAGTTATTTCTTTCCGGATTTCTTTAAATTTCTCACACTAACTTTAATTATAATATCCCTTTAGTATGCTGCAATTTATGTAACCACTCCCCTATTCCTAAATATTCAGGTTGCTTGTGGTTTTCTTTCCCTCCCGCAATAACGCTGCTATAAATATCTTTGAACAGATAGCTTTTTTTTTCTTTTTGGTAACACCCTGAGGATATATTCCTGACAATGAAATTAGCAAGTCAAACTATAATTTTCATTTGGGAATAATAATAATAACTATGCATTTACATAGGCTTGGCTGTAGATAGTATTTCATCTTTGAAGACCAATATAGCCAACTTTTGAGAGGATCATCATTTGGTTAATAGAGCCTCAAAATATTGAACTAAGTGTGAGAGGGAAAGATTGCATAATGACCCCCGTGCAGAAACCTGCCAATCATTGCTCAGTAACTATGGTATGGTTGAGAAAAAGGCCATAGGTTCCCATTGGCTGGACCATCTCTGGGCATTTGGCTACTGGCATCAGAACCTGCTTTCTCTATATCCCCTGGGTCTCTGCTGTGAACACTCAAACCATCTTTTTTTGGGGGGGGGACCTAAAAAAGAGCCCTTGGTCCCAGTGGCTTCCTTACCTGCAATGACTGCAGTGTTGGCAACAGCTGTAGGAGTCAGGGTTTCAGTGGCTGGTAGGAGTGGAGTGGACATCAGTTCTTCTGCTGGCATATTCAGAAGAGGGGGCAAAGAAAATACAGTTAATATAGGAATAGGTGCTGTTTATATTCCTTCTTTCCTTCTCTCTGCTACTGAAGAAATAGTTCCAGCTTCCCAATCATCTTCCACATCATATCTTGATTTTTGTTTAGATTTTTATTTTTACATTGCCTTCATTTCTGAATCTGTTTCTTCCCTGTCCCCTTCCAATCAAGCTATTCTTTGAAGCAATTATTTTAAAAGAAGGGGGGAGAGCAGCTAGGTGGTGCAGTGGATAGAGCACCGGCCCTGAAGTCAGGAGGACCTGAGTCCAAATCCGGCCTCAGACCAAACACTTGACACTTACTAGCTGTGTGACCCTGGGCAAGTGACTTAACCCCAATTGCCTAAAAAAAAAAAGGGAGGAAAGGCGGTTCAAGAAAACCAATCAAAATATTTACCATGTCTGACAATATATGTAAAATTCTGTACCTATAGTCCTTCACCTCTGCCAAAAGAGAAGTGCATTTTCTCAATTCTTCTCTAGGGCCAATTTCGCAGAATTACGGGGCTGGAAAGGCTGGAGGATCGCTTAGCTGAATCCCCACATTTCTGGAGATGTAGATCCTGATTAAGTGGAATGAACACTGGAGTTCAAGACTCAAAAAATTTTCATGTGACTCCTGATTCTAGGAAAGTCAAATTACCTCTCTCAGCCACCGTTTCCTACTCTGTAAAATGGGACAATATTTACACAACCTCATAGGTTTGCAAGGAAAACTTCAGGTTGTTGTTGTTGTTTGTCTTTCATTCTTGAAGAGGACCATGACATCAGGAAGGTGATGCCATGACTTGCAAGTCAATTGGATTTAGGTGAGGGAGGGCTGTGCAAAGTCACCAGCCTCACTTTCTCCTCTGGAGCCATCTGGTCGGTCCAGTGGCCAGATATAGACCAGGATGACTGGAGGTGGCCCTGTATGCAGTGGGAGACCTTGGCCTTTTTAAGCTAACTTCTTTAACAGGTCCCCATTTCACTGAGGCAACACCTATTCAGTGATTAAGGTCAGGTAAGAAATGAGCCAGAGAATGGCCTCTATTTACCTAGTCAATGAAAAAAATTTTTTTAAAAAAATCAGTCTGGGAGAGGAACACCCTCAGGGTTTCTGGCCAAAAGAGAAATAATTGCTACTCTGAGCCAGTGGAGCCCAAACAATGACCAAGTGGGGCTTGGTCTGGGACCTATTTATTGTTGGCCAATCAATGAGAGCCAGAGTGATTTGGGTTTAAGGCATGATCCTTAAGAAAAAAAATCTAGCTTGTAAACCCCAAGATATCTTATGAGCAGCAATCTTACTTTACAAAGATTTTACTCTGTAAAAGGGGACAGTATCTACATAACTTCACAGGGTTGCAAGGAAAGCTCCAAGAAGGAAAAGAAGGAAACATTAATTAAGTGCCTACTATGTGCCAGGAACAATGCTAACTGCTTTAGAAATATTATTTGATCTTCACAACAGCCCTGGGAGGTAGCTACTATTATTATCCCATTTTACAGCTGGAATCATAAAGTGCTATACAAACGATAAACTATAAATGTGAAGGTATTATGTTACAGATGAAACAGGTGAAATGATTTGCCCAAGGTCCTTTACCTCTTAGTATTACATCCCTTCTTGTGCACCTTGATGCCTTACTCTCACTTTGGATTTTAAGTTCCTTTTCCCAACTAATCCCACCCTTCACTCCAAAATCTAACTCTTCTCAAAGCCTATGACATCACAATGACTCCTTGCCCTTCCCTCATTCCTAGCCTGAAACTTTTAGAGGTACACAGCATAGGTGGGAGCATTTTCTCTAGAAGTGCCCTGTTAAAATACCCTTGGGATATGTCACCTCTAAGAGAAGAGAGGTTTCTAACCTTATCCCACTAGTATGTTAGTATGGACTACCTTAAGGAACTAATTAGGACCCTGACCCAGAAGGAATGGAGCACACAAGTAGAGGCTGGGGAGGGGGAGTTAGGAGTAGCAAGAAACAGGGTAGTATACACACACACACACTTATATGTATACAAATGTATATATGTGTGGGTATATGCATGTTTATCTAGTATCAAGCAACAATAACAGAAATCATAGAATCTAATTGAGAGCTGGAAGTGATGTTAAGAATCATTGAAGAGGGACAGCTAGGTGGCGCAGTGAATAGAGCTCTGACCTTGGAGTCAGGAGGACCTGAGTTCAAATCCAGCCTCAGACACTTAACACTTACTAGCTGTGTGACCCTGGGCAAGTCACTTCACCCCAATTGCCTCACCAAAAAGAAAAAAAAAAAGAATCATTGAAGATGACCTCATTAGCTTTATTTCTGGCCCTACCTCCCCTACCCAATTTCCCTTTCTCCTTCTAACCATTCACATATCCATAAAGTAGAGAAAGATGAAGACATTCTAGAATTTTAACACAAAGCAATGACACCATAAGGCAACAAGAAATATTAAAGGCAAAAGGTGAAAAAAATAGGAGAAAATATAAGTAAGCTTACTCCCCAACCCCACCCTCCACCCAATGGACTCCTCTCCCCTTCTCTTACCATTCTTTTCTTTAGATCATCAAGATATAACAAAACTTACTGCCAGGCAAAAACTATTAACTTGGAAAACAGATTGAGGAGAAAAAAAAATTAAGAATCATTAGACTAACTGAATGCCATAACCCAAAAAAGAGCCCAGACATTTTATTTTATCTTAAAACTGTCCAGATCTTCTAGTAGCAGAGGGAAAAGGGAAACAAACAGAATCCACCAATCACTTCCTGAAAGAAACTCCAAAATGAAAACTCCGAGGAACATTATAACCAAAATCCAGAACTTCCAGGTCAAAGAAAAAAAATACTGCAAGCAGCCAGAATGAAAGAATTAAAGTACCAAGGAGCCACAGTCAGGATCACACATGTTTCAGCAGCCACCACTATGAAAGAATGGGAAGATTGGAATGCAATATTCTATAAGGAAAAGGACATGGGCTTACACCCAAGAATAACTTACCCAGCGAAACTGATTATAATGCTGCAGCAGAGGTAAATGAAACTTTAATGAAATAAGGGAATTCCAAGCATTCCTGATGAGAAAAAAAAAGATCAGAGCTATGGAGAAACTCTGAAACTCAAACACAAGAGTAAAGAGAAACATAAAATGGTAAACACAGATGAACAATGATAAAGGACTAAACAAAGGTAAACTGATTACACTCAGATATAGGTAAATGATAGATTTGTCCCTTCTGAATCCTATCACCATCCAGGATTATGGAGGGAGTTCAATTAGACAAGGTCTGGGAATAATTCTGTTATGTGTTGATGATCTTAAGAAGAGAATGAAAGAGAGCCAAGATAGTGGGGTAGAGACAGCAACTTAATTGAACTCTTTCAACATTCCTTTCCAAATAACTTTAACACCTCAAATCAAATTTTGGAGCAGCAGAGCCAACAAAAGGTCAAGGTGAGATATTTTTCCAGCCTAAGACAACTTAGTAGGTCAGAGGGTGAGGTCTGTGACACTGGGGTGGGGATTGGCCTGGAGCACAAGTGGAGGCAGCCATCAGTGGGTTGGCTGAAACAGCAGCATCAGCAGCTTCAGGAACTCTTAGCTTGGAAAGAGTAATGGGGTTGGAAAACTGGTTAGAAAGAGATTACAGAAGACCTCTTTGCTGGCACTGATTGGCAACTCTATTGACCGTATGCAGTCAGTTCCAAGGCAGAGAGGAGAGCGACAGTTCAGGCTGTAGAAGAGTAGGGGACCTGGTCACAGTTCCAGGACCATTAGCACTTGTGGCTGCAGGGAAGCAGAAGCCCTTCCTGGGAAAAGATCAGAGTGCAGACCCAGAAAGCTGTGACATCTCTCCTGGGGTCACATCACCTAGGAAGCACTGAAAACTTACAGACCCCCATAATTAGCTCTGAAAACAGCAGTATGAAAAAGCCTTAAGATTGGGACGGTGTCTCCACAGCCCCAGGTGAATAGAACCTAATAGAAATACTAATAATTAATTCTAATAGAAAGTTTAAAGACAAGAACTAGACTGGGAAAATGAGCAAAAAACAAAGCAAAACACAAAACAAACTTGACCATAAAAAGCTACTGCTGAAAGAATCTGCTGATCACCCCCTGAAAGAGATTCCTCAAATGAAAATGCCCAGGAAATTATAGTCAAATTCCAGAGCTCTCAGGTTAAGGAGAAAATACTGCAAGCAGCCAGAAAGAAACAATTCAAGTATCATGGAGCCAACAGTCAGAATCACACAAGATTTAGCAGCTTCCATGTTAAAGGAGTAGAGGGCTTGGAATATCATAGTCTGTAGTATCTGGTAAAACTGAGTTTGGGGAAGCTAGGTGGCGTAGTGGATAGAGCTCTGGCCCTGGAGTCAAGAGGACCTGAGTTCAAATCCGGCCTCAGACATTTGACACTTACTTGACACTTACTAGTTGTGTGACCCTGGGCAAGTTACTTAACCCCAATTGCCTCACCAAAAAAAAAACAACAACTGAGTTTAATCCTTCAGGGGATTATTTAATGAAATAGAGGACTTTTAAGCATTCCTGATGAAAAGGGGTCTAGAAGTCTAACTCTAGGGACTTAGAAGGAGATGGCATGAGTGTGAGTTAATTATGTTGGTATGATCTAAAAAAAAAGTGAAGAACTGAGAAGGAGGGATGCACTGGGAGAAAGGGGAGGGGAGAAGTACAATGGGGAATTTTTCTCACCTAAAAGAGGTGCACAAGGAAGTGGAGGGGCAGGCAATGCTTGAACCTCACTCTCATTGGAATTGGTTCAAGGAGGGAAGAATACATATGTGTCCAATCAGTTGGGTATAGGAATCTATCTTACCCAATAGGGAAATAGGAAGGGAAAAAGGTAAGAGAAAGGGGGAAGGGGGTGATAAAATGGAGGGTGGATTAAAGGAGGCAGTGGTCAGAAGCAAAACAGACTTTTGGGGAGAAACAGGATAAAAACAGAGAGAAAAGGATA